TCTCTCTCTCTCTCTCTCTCTCTCTCTCTCTCTCTCTCTCTCTCTCTCTCTCTCTCTCTCTCTCTCTCTCTCCTTTCCTCCCTCTCTTCCGCCCTGATAGATGAGCAACCCTGGTGGCCGTGGCCGCAAATCAAGCTCGGCCGATTCGCGAGCAACCAGCATGGATAAGCAATCCAGCCTGCACTCCATCACCAGCGCCCAGCTGGACACCGCCCTCTTTGGCCAGGAGGACGCCCGCTCCTCCGCCTCCCACCAACACCAGCACCAGCAGCACCAGCCCCAACGCGCAGGCAGGCCCATGTCCTTTGCCTCGCAGCCGCAGCAGCCTCTGAGGCACCGCGACTCGGCCGCTTCCTCCAGCGCCTACCAGCAGCGCCGCACCTCCCTCGACTGGACCCGCCTCAACGCCGAGGCCGCCCACGCCCCGCGCAGCATGCCGCCCACGGACGTGCCGGAGCCGCCAGAGAACCCCGACGTGTTCTCCCAGCGCACCAACTACGTGACGGAGGAGGACTTCCTGCGCCAGCGCGAGCAGGACCGCGCAGTCGCCTCCAGCGGCAAGAAGAACCCGGCAGACACGGGCTACATCAGCAGCCTCGTCACGGGCGTGCGCGTCGACAACATCAAGACCAGCCTCATCCGCAAGTCCCAGCGCGACAAGCCCAAGAAGGACGGCGCCATCCAGGAGGAGGACGAGGACGAGGACGAGTATGACGACGACGGCGAGGATGACTACGTGGACGGACACACCAACCCCCGCGCCTCGCGCCTACATAGCCACGCCACCGCCGCCTCCGCCTCTGCCGCCGCCGGTCGCAGGCACACGGCCGCTAGCCACAGCGCTGACCATGCCTCCGTCCGCAGCGGCGGTCACAAGTCCTCCTCCTCGTCGCAGGCGTCTTCTTACGCCATCCTCTCCGAGCGGGGCGATGACTCGCACGCCCAGGGTTATGCCTCCGTCGCCACCGGGGACCACGCCCTGGACACGAGCGGCAGCAACAACGCGGCGGTGCTCACCCTGGACCACCAGCAACACACTGGCGGTGACAGCGACGTCGACGCAGCGCGCTTCGACGGCAACGGCGCCGCCCACAGCGCGCTGGAGATGGCCATGCAGGATGTCTCTGCACAGCTCCTCGACAGCCAACAGCAGGACCAACACCAACACCAGCAGCAGCAGCCACAGGCCGCGGTGTTCTACGACAACGTGACACAGTCTGCGCTGGAGCGCAGCGGCGCCAGCGCCGGCGATGACGGCGCCAACGACAACAACTCGCGGCGCGCCATCAACCAGACATACGCCAGCACCTCTCCTGCCAACAGCAGCGCCACACCCGGGTCCCGCGCCGCTGGCAAGCGCCACCCCATGCTCATCAACGCCGCCGTCAACAACACCAACCGCCGTCCCTTTGCCAACAACAACAACAACACCTCCGCCATCATGGCAGCTGAGGACGACAACAACACGCTGCAGGGTGGCTTCTCCCGCAACAACTCGTACCAGCGCGCGTCGTACCGCCCGCCGTCGTCCCAGCCCTCCTACCGCGGGCCGGGTGAGATGACGCTCAAGCGCCGCCACTTTGGCGGCAAGGACCGCGGCTTTGTCACCAAGGTGCACAAGGCCGTGACGGACGGGCAGGTGGTGATCCCGGACCCGCACACGCTGCGCAGCCCCGTCACCACGGTGTACGCGCGCCACGAGGATTTCTACGCCGACGGAAACAAGTCGTACTACGTGCCGGACAGCCGCAAGAAGCGGCGCATGTGCTGCGTCGTGCCGTGCTACAACGAGCCCAGCGACGCGCTCCGGCGCACGCTGACCTCGCTGCACGGCCAGCTGGACAACCTGCGCAAGCTCGACTTTGACTTCCACGTCGTCGTCATCATGGATGGCTGGCAGCTCACGTCCGAGTCCATGCGCACGTACCTGCAGACCATCTTCGACATGCCGGAGAACGTGGAGAACGAGGGCCCCACGTGGTGGGACGACCTCAACACGCTCGAGGGCAACCCCTCTGTGGAGACGTTTATCATCCAGAACGTCAACATTGAGACGTGGACGGTGGAGCCCGTGTTCATCGAGCCCGAGGAGTTGCCTGGCGCGCGCATGCACATCACGCTCATTGTTAAGCGCGACAACCGCAGGAAGCACAACACGCTCGAGTGGTTCTTCCGCTCCTTTGCTGTCGAGTACGGTGCAGAGTACAGCTTCACCACGGATTGCGGCACCCTCTTCCAGAACGACACCATCTACCACCTGGCGCGCCACCTGGACCTATTCCCGCGCTGCGGTGGCGTGACAGGCCGGCAGCGTGTCATGTCTGCCAAGCAGCAGGGCGTGGACCACGAGAGCTGGTACTCCGCGTGGATGCGCAGCGTGCAAGGTTTCGAGTACGAGGCGACGTATGCCTCCTATGTCGGTGCCTTCTCCATGGCGGGCATGCTTCCCGTGATTCCGGGCCCCTGCGGGCTCTTCAACATGAAGCACCTCAACGGGCAGGGTGTGGAGTTCTTCTTCGACAAGGTCAAGCAGGACCCCGACACGGCCGGCCTGTTGCTGGGTAACGGCCTCCTGGCTGAGGATCGCTTCCTTTCCTACGCCGCCGTCGTGTCCACGGGCAAGCCCACCATCACTGAGTTTGTGCCGGAGAGCGTGTTCTTCTTCGAGGCAGAGACCGAGCTGCGCACGTTTGTCTTCCAGCGTCGTCGCTGGAACAACGGCACCTTTGCTTGCTTCGTCTGGCTCATGCTCAATCTCGACATCATCCGCAAGTCCCCCCACGGCATTGTCTTCAAGCTGCTCATGCAGTTCCTCGTGAGTTCACTTTCTCAGCCTGTGTTATATGCCGTGCTGCACTGTGCTGCACTGTGCTGCACTGCACTGCACTGTGCTGCACTGCACTGTGTTGTGTTGTGTTGTGTTGTGTTGTGTTGTGTTGTGTTGTGTTGTGTTGCGTTGTGTTGTGTTGTGTTGTGTTATGTTGTGTTGTAGCGTGCTGTGCACGTGTATCGGTGTTCTTTCTGTGCACACGCGTGTTGATGTGCTTTCTGTGTACAATTGTGTCGTGACCATCAGCATCAGCACCGATTCCAGCACCAACACCGCTTGTTCACGTGACTCACCAAATGCCTGGCTTGCTTGCGCCTTGTTCCTTTCTTGTAGATTGTGTGGCAGGTCATCTGGCTTGGCGTTTCCCTGATTGCCCCCGCTCTGTTCCTGGTTTTGCTTCGTCTCGGTGTTCGACATACCTTCCCTGCCAACGAGGAGGGGGTACGTTTTCAGCACTTGTGTGCGTGTGTGTGTGTGTGTGTGTGTGTGTGTGTGTGTGTGTGTGTGTGTGTGCGTGTGTGTGCGTGGGTGTGTGTGTGCGTGTGTGTTATCAGGTTTGAGGTGCGGAGTCCCGAGCACATGTCCCACTGCCGAACTCTCTTTCCGTTTTGTTTTCCCTGTTTAACTCACAGTCCGCTCCACTCCACTCCACCCCACTCCACTCTCTTCCATCCTGCACAAACAGGGGTCCAGTTTCTGGGCAGACATGATTTGTCTCGTGTACATGGTGCTCTATGTGACGTTCATTTCGCAGCACGTCCGGTCCAAGTTTGAGGCGTGGCTGTTCCACGTGTTTACGCTCATACACGGCATCGCAGTGCTGTTCATCATCTCGACGTTCATCCACGCAGCTGCGACGCGACGTGACCACGTTGTCGACCTCACCCTCTACCTCTTCGCCGTGTACCAGGGCGCGCCCATCCTGCTGTCCCTGATTGTGAGCCCGCGCTCGTGCGGGTTCCTTGTCAAGTACTTTGTGCCCTACATGATCTTCCTGCCGACGCACACCATGACCTTCTGGACGTATGCGCTCACGCGCACGTTTGATCTCACGTGGGGTAACCGCCCCACAACCCACAAAGTCCCCAAGAACGAGCGCAACCTCATTGTGGAGAAGCTCAAGAGCAGCGCCGTGTCGCTGATTGGCTTTGTGGCCTGCATCAACCTCCTCATCGCCGTGGTGCTGCTTCAAATTGCCGTGTCCGGGCGAACGCTGTGGATCATCTGGACCCTCGTGTCCCTCATGATCTTCTCCGGCGTGCAGATGGCGCTGTCGTTCTGCTTTGCGCTGGAGTACCATCTCATCCGCCGCGTCCGCCGCTGGATCCGCATTGGCCGCCTCAACCTCGCCCGCCACAGGCGCAAGAACAAGCGCAAGCTCCCCGATTCAGGCCAGAGCCAGGCACAACTCCTCGAGTGGGACAACACTGGTGTACCAAAGTAACAAACCAAACGAGGAGCCACGACCGCGCAGTACACCAGCACTGCTGCTGTGGCGGTACCCTGCTCGCAGTTCCCTTTCCTGGCTGCTGCTCTTCCTCTAATTGCTTCTCTTCTTTTCTTTGGGCTTGTGGCGAGATTTGGGTGGCGTGCGCGTGATATCATCATTGAGCGATGTGTGTATGTGTGTGTGTGTGTGATATGATTTGATTTGAGTTGATTTGATTTCAGTGGCGTTGTGCCTGCTTCTTTTCTTGGCTCCTGTTCTGCGTCCCCTCTCTTTTGCTTTGCTGTCTTCTCTTTCTTTCTTCTTTCTCTTGTCGAGCGAGAGAACTGACTTGACTGATTTATCGCGCGAGCACGGCTCGTGTGTTTTGATGTTCGGTTGACTTGTGCCCGTGCCGGGACACAGTGCGCGTTGTTGTTCGTTGAACAAATCAAATGAACCATCGAAACAAACGAAACCAACAAACATAATTGTAAGGAGACGGGGAGAGATGGAGAAAGTGGGAGTTGGGGGGAAGGAGGAAGACTTGGGGGATTGGGTGGTGGTAAGCAAAGAGAGGAGCAAAGGAGCAAAAAGAGAAGCGTGCAAGCAAGCAAGCAAGCAACAAGTCAAGTGGGAAGGACCACGACGGACTTGTTTTACGACATCATAAATTGAAAGCGCTGACGTGTTTCCCAACCGGCCGGTGATGAGAAGTGGAAGCGGAAGCGGAGTTGGTCGAGCAGCGACAACAATGGCGGCCACCGCGCTGCTCGCTGCTGTCGTTGTCGTCCTGTGCACTGCGATACAAGATGGTGAGCTTGAGGGAGCGTGTATGCATGCGTCTGGGTATCTCTGTGTGTATGCATATGCTTGTGTGTCTGTGTGTGTGTATGCACGCGTATGCCTGTCTGTGTTTGCATGTGTGTGTCTGTGTTTGCATGTGAGTGTCTGCGTCTGTGTGTGTATGTATGTATGTGTGCTGCTTACTGGCACACTGTGGTGCAGGGTGGCTGACGACGCTAAACTGCAACAAACAAACACTCGCACATACTCACACACGTATGCACTCACACTAACTCACTCACCACTCTTACCCCCTCACACCCTTACACAACCAGTATCGGCTGAGCTGAGCGTCGCGGATCACCTGGCCACGGGAGACAAGCACCTCGCCGCGGGAGAGCTGTCGACCGCGCTTGACCACTACCACAGCGCTTGCGGTGAGACGGCGGCGTTTCTGCTTTGGTGCTGGTTTGCAGTGCGCCCCGCGTGTTGCGGCTGTCGCTGTACCTGCGTCTTGTCACTGCACCAGCCGTTTGCTAACATGTCGGTACTACGACTGCTGCTGCTGCTGCTGCTGTGGTGTAGATGGTGCACCGAATGACTACAGCCCGTACTTCAAACGGTCCATTGCGTACCTTGCACTCGGCCGCCTTCGCCAGGCCTCAAAGGACCTGGACCGCGTCTTGGAGCTCAAGCCAGACTTTACACAAGCACGCTCCAAGCGCGCTGAGATTCTCCTCAAAATGGGCCAGCTCTCCTCTGCCAAGGAAGATTTTGTGGCACTGGTGAGGGCCTGTGCATCTCTATTTCCGCGTGTGTTGGGGGGGCAGCGATATGGGCGCCCCTCAGTCCCTTCCCTCTCCCACCTGCTCTTTGGCTTCGCTGCGTCTGTTCGTGCTTGCGCATGTGCCCGTGGCCTTTTGCACCTCACACACACACACACACACACACACACACACACACACACACACACACAACACAACACACAACACACAACACACAACACACACACACACGCACAACTATGCACACAACTATGCGCACACAGGGCGATACGGAACAGGCCGCAAACATTGACCGGCTGGCGGCAACGCGGGAAGCCGCAGATACAGCAGCAGAACAAGAGCAGTGGCAAGAAGCCCTCAACCTCTACACACAAGTCATCGAGGTTCGTGTACAGCTGCTTGCTTTCCACCGAATCAGCTCATTCCCCCCCCCCACACACACACACACACACTCGTTCCTGTTGTTACATTTCACTCCATATTCTGCCGCGTGTGTAGACGCGTAAACTTATACCTGCTCACTCAATGATGCACACACACACACACAAACACACACACACACACAAACACACACACACGCACACACAAACACACACACACACACAAACACACAAACACACAAACACCACACTGTCCATGCACCAACGACACGCACGTTGGCGCTTCCTGTGCTGGCTGACATGCCGCTGCAGACGGTTGGCAGCGACGCTGACCTTCGCATGAAGCGTGGCAAGGTGTACATGCACTTGGGCATCATGGGCGAGGCCATGGCCGACGTCAAGTTAGTTACATGTGCGGGTGTCTGCGTCTGTGTGCATGGGGTGGGTGTCTGCGTCTGTGTGGGTGTGGGTGTGGCTGCTGTGCAAGCTAACTCCCCGCATCGCTTCGGTCTTGAATGCCACATGCCAGGCGTGCGACGGTGCTGAAGAGCGCAAACACAAAAGCCTTCTTCCTCCTCAGTGAACTGGAATTCAAGGTGCCTATGCTCGCAATTTCGTGGCCAACAGCACGTCACATCACAGCCCCTCAGAACCACTCTTACCTGTATCCTTCATTCGACATTCACTCACTCACGCACATGCGCGCGCACACACATACACACACACACGTTCACACAGAGCGGCAACTACGAGGGGGCGTTGGAGCAGATTCGACAGTGTGTCAAGCTTGACGGCGACGACAAAGCGTGCTTTGATTTCTACAAGAAGCTCAAAAAGTTTACCAAACTCGCCAACAAGGCTAAGGAAGTCCTCGCAGCCAAGCGGTGCGTATGTGTTTGCTTGCTTGCCAGCTTGCTTGTTTGCTTGCTCGTGTATACATGCATCTGCGCGTGCGCGTCTGCACGATGCTTTGAGTATGGGCAGCGGACTTTGCGTTGGGCTTGTGTTTGTTGTGTGCTCACATGTGCGCTGCGATGCTTGTATGCCATGCTGCTTGTACGCGTTGGCTTGCCAGCTACGCCGAGGTGATTATGAACGTGGAGAAGATGGAGAAGCTTGATGTGCAGGAGCCCTTCTACTTGGCCTGGTTTGCCAAACTGCGCTGCGAATGCCTCAGCAAACTCGCAAGAACAGCACCTGCCTTGGAGGTACAGTCTGACGCAACCAATCCTCACGACAACACGCCTTGCGTGTGTGTGTGTGTGTGCTTGGATGTGCGTGCGTGTGTGCGTG